ATGATCATCTACCTCCTCAGCAGAGATGATGAAAGACAGACTCATGTTTGTTTGCTCTGATATTCAGTGAGACTTCGGAGTGACTCTTGTTTTATGATGATTGATTATTGGTTCTGTGTTTTCTCCACCTGCTCGTGTTTGTGTTGGACCTACGGTGAGAATACGTTTAGAATGAAGCCAGTTTTGAAAAGGTCCCAGTCTGAAGCAGTGTTGTGACTGTTGGTAGGTGCACATGAATCATTCAAGCAGGTCGTGACGTCTAGAGAATATTACACATTAGGAATAGAGATGAGGATGCTACCTGCCTTTAGACAGGAAAAAAAAAAATTGATTTCAAGTTTCTGCATCCTGACAGATTCCCCATGAGGAAATTCCGGCCAAGAAGTTGCGTCTGTCCAAACCCAGTAAATCTGCGGCTCTGCACATTGACCTCTGTAAGGCCACCAACTCCACCGATGCCCTGCAGTACCTGCTGCAGTTTGCACGCAAGCCTGTGGAGGTGGAGAGCGTGGAGGGTGTGGTCAGGATCCTGTTGGAGCACTACTATAAGGTAACAAACTACTGAGAGGTTCAGAAACATAAAGATCAGAAACGTTATAGAAAAACCTCTCCCCTGTGTTCATGAGTAGCTTATATATTCTTATTAATATGTATTTTGAGAGATAAATCCAACTGTAAACACTTTTTATAATTTTTAAATGTGTGTTCACAGTGTTTAGTCTAAAATGAACACTCACCTCTGATGATGTTGTTTCCCAGGAGACTGATAATTCGGTGAGGTTGAAGATCGCCTCTCTGCTGAGTCTGCTCTCCAAAACCCAGGGTTTCATCCCCGACTGCATCGTTGACGACGCCATTAACACACTCACCAACGAGAGTAAGACTCATTTACACAGTTTGAACCCTGAACTTTTTACTCATTTGAGCCACAGGTCCATTATAATCAGCGTCAGTCTGTTTTTCTTTATGTTTGTGTACTTATACATTGTATTATTTGTCAGTAATTTTATTTTCTAATGAAATACTATTTTCAAATGCATTTGGATTTATGGGTATGAAAAGGGTTGTGTGTATTTTAGGGGTCTTCCCGTTGGGAGCAGTGGAAACCAGAGTCCTGCACGGATCCATTTTTGCAGACCACTAAGCTTCGTACTGGACCTGACCCATTACTCTCCATTATCTCAAATTCGAATCTCGACCCTCCCAGACCCGTTTACATATGACCCCACCCATCACTTGTGATTCAACACGCATGCTATACAAAGTCTTTCTCATCACCTGGGTTATAAATCTCCCTGTCCTCTGGTTTTAAACAAAGGTCAACAAGTTCTGTCTTTCTTTGTCTCTGCAGAGTCTCACCAGGTCCTCGCTCAGCTGCTGGACACTCTGCTGGTCATAGGTACACAACTACCTGAGAGTCCTACAGTCAGACAGAGGCTCATTGAGGTGGCCTGCAAGGTAACACACACGCACGCACACACACTACTCATCATTCTCAACAGGATCACAAAGCATTCATACTTCTGTTTTTTCTCATTCTTCCTCTCAGCACCTGTCTGATACGTATTTCGGGGTGAGGAACAAGTGTCTGCAGCTCCTCGGGTGTCTGGGCATGGTGGACACACCTCTGAACAAAGACAGCGATGGACCAAGCACATCGATAGGTGTGGGTCATTTATTGATATCATTAAATGTTGAGCTGTGATTCTGACTTTTTAAATGTGCTTCTAAACTGAATCATGAGTTCTCAGTGTGTAGAAATACAGAGAGGTATATATTTAAGAAAACAGTCTTCAAGAACATGCTATTGGTTTTTTTTATTGTTGTGGCAGAATTTATCTTACGAGGCCTCACTATGTCTACCATTGTAGTCATAACTCTGTAAACTCACATGTCTGGGTCCTGAAGAGTTGTTGTCATGTTTTTGTTGCCATGTGTCAACTGACAGCTCCAGGAGCAGTGAGGGACGTCCAGTGTATCATTAGCGACTACTTTGGAGACCAGGACCCCAGGGTCCGCACCGCAGCCCTTAAAGCCATGGTAGGAAACCACCCACACCTACACTTCTTCTCAGATATGTACCTTGCACCACACTTGTCATTCAGAAACCACACAGTGCTGCCGCAGTCTCAGAATGTTCTAATCTCACGGTGGGTTTTATTTTTTTTCAACTCTGCTCTTTGTTTTTCAGCTGCAGCTGCATGAGAGAGGGATGAAGATTCATCAGATCATTTACGACCAGGTAACATCAATTTAACCTCCTGAAATCATGGACATCATTGAGTCAACAGATATTTCTCAGATATAAAAAATAGAGTTTATTTAGTTTTACATCTTTATCTGTGTGAGAATGATAATAAAACAGTGACAGAACAAGATATCTCATGGTTTTAAATGACTGTGAATTATCCTCTGGTGGTGGTGAGCATAGCAACTGCAAGCATTGCAACTAGAGGCTGTAAAAGTTCAAATAAAGAATAAAAAATGTAAATACATGTGTTGGCAGGCCTGCAGGTTGCTGTCAGACGACTATGAGCAGGTTCGCTCTGCAGCTGTACAGATGGTTTGGGTGCTCAGCCACCTGTACCCAGAGAGGTGAGAAGAGCCTGATCGACAGATCTCACACTGACACTTTGGTTTCAGAGCAGGTGTGAGATTTTCAATGAGGCTTAATAAAGTCATGAAACACCAGAGAGAAGTCAAACCACTCAAACCAAACCCATAAAGACCAATTATTTGTGTGATCTATTTGTACAACATTAAATTTGTCCTTCTAACAGCTACAGCTGATATTTTAATTTACTTCACTTGTTGCATTTTTAATAATTTAGTAATTTCTGTCCACAACCGATTGCAGTGACGTTCACTCTTCTCTCTGTCCAATCAGCATCGTGCCCATCCCATCCTCCAATGAAGAGATCCGAATGGTTGACGACGCATTTGGAAAGATCAGTCACATGGTCAGTGATGGTTCCTGGATGGTTCGTGTGCAGGCAGCTAAAACCCTGGTGAGGGAACAGGATCAACACACACTGTATCAGTGTAGTATATAGTACTCAGTATATAAATACTTATAGGCCTTATTGTTGTGTAACATTCAGAGATGTGTTAATGTTTCTGGTGTCAGGGTTCGATGCAGCAGGTCAGTCCTCAATTTCTGGAGCAAACTTTGGATAAGAAGCTGATGTCAGATCTCAGGGTGAGTCCTGCTTTATTCACAAGATATTTCTTTAAAGAAAATATGGCAGATTAATGAGTTTTAATCGAGGCGGTTCCACTCACCACTTCTCCTTCCTCCTGTGTCCAGAGGAAACGCACGGCTCATGAACGAGCCAAGGAGCTTTTCGCTTCCGGAGAATTCTCCTCTGGCAGGAAGTGGGCCGACGATGCCCCCAAGGAGAAACTGGACAGCAACACCGTCAACCTCATCGCCTCAGGAGCCTGCGGCGCCTTCGTCCACGGCCTGGAGGACGAGATGTTTGGTACGGAAACACAGGGTCATGTGATGTTAAACCCATGCAACCGATTCCGCTGTTCATCTGATTTTTTATTTACAAGAGTCTTTACCACTTGGTGTTGTCATGATCTCCTCCCACAGTTTTATAGTTTGAGAAGTTATGAATAATTAACATCTAAGAAAGTCTTCACACTTCTCACCCTCTACCTTTACTCAGGATTAGATTTACAGATCTATATATTTATTGATCTCTGCGTGTTTTTCCTGCTGGTGTTCACTCCGTCACTTATATTATTTCAGAGGTTCGTATTGCGGCGGTGGAGGCGTTGTGCCAGCTGGCTCGGTCGTCTCCCAGCTTCGCCGAAAAGTGTCTGGACTTCCTGGTCGACATGTTCAACGATGAGATCGAGGAAGTGAGGCTGCAGTCCATCCACGTGCTGAGACAAATATCCACACATATAACACTCAGAGAGGACCAGCTTGACACTGTGCTGGCTGTGCTGGAGGTATGCACACACACACACACACACACAGGTCAAACGATAAAGTCTTTTTGCACACACTGATGAAGTTGTTGTCGGCCTCCAGGACTCGTCTCGTGACATCAGAGAAGCTCTTCATGAATTGCTGTGTTTCACCAACGTCTCCACTAAAGAGTGTATCCAGCTGGCTCTGCTGGAGCTGCTGAAGAACCTCAACAAGTATCCCACCGACCGCAACTCTGTCTGGAAGTAAGAGCTGCTTTTGTGTGTGTCCACAAATCAAATCCACATCTCGATATTTAAAAAGCCACCTACCAGTAAAAGCTAGATTCAACGTGACACTCTGGTTTTTATCTGGATAGAAGCTGTTGATGGACCTGATGATTAGTTGTTTATCTTTTTATTCCGTCCCCTCAGGTGTCTGAAGTTCGTGGGTTCCCGTCACCCAACCCTGGTGCTGCCGCTGGTCTCTGAGCTGCTCAGCACACACCCGTATTTCGACACGCCAGAGCCTGACATGGACGACCCGGCCTGTATCCTCCACTCGACTGAAACATCTTCGAACACACACACAAACAAACCACATCAACTTGATTCTGCAGCAAAGTCTCACTTTTCTTTCCCTGATTTGGAATTTTGAAGCAGTAAAACTGAGACTGACACTGATGTAAACGTTCTGGATGTTGGTCAGGTCAGCGTCAGGAGCTGTAGTCAGTGCGTTGAGGGGTTTATCTTTGTTGTTCTTTCTTGACTCTGGACATCGTCTCAGACATCGCTGTGCTGGTGCTTGTGTTTAACGCTGCCAAATCGTGTCCCACCATGCCGGCGCTGTTCTCCGATCACACCTTCAGACACTACGCCTACCTGAGGGACAGTCTGTCACACCTTGTACCGCCACTCAGAGTGAGAACTCAGCTACTGTAGTGATCAGAATCAGGTCGAATTCATTTTCTCCATTGATGTTTCAGAAAATCCCTCTAAAAGTAGATTTAAGGGTGAAACCTCCTGTGAGATGAACCATGACCACAAATCATCACAACACACTCATCAGTTCACTCACTGGGAGCTCCTGTAACTGTTCTCCTGTATCACAGCTGCCGGGCAGGAAGCAGGTCTACGGTCTGGACTCGGTGGACTCGGGTTGCGGTTCTGGTTCTGTGGAATCAGCTCAGCTCTTCCTTGTACAGAGTCTGAATCGGGTCAGCACCATCCAGAACCTGGAGGCACCAGGAGCCCAGGACCTGCTGGACTTCACTATACGGTACAGACGAGACATATTTAAAAGTCTCTGATTGAATGAATGGGAAGTTTAAATCTTTGACCCGTGTCGTTCAGAGACTTGCAGCGTCTGGGGGAACTACAGACTGAACTCGTGGGAGCTGCTGATTTCTGTGCTACATACCTGCGCTGCCAGCTGCTCCTCATGAAGGTACCTGTGTTTGTTCATGTGTGTTACTGCCCTGTTTCATTAACCATGTGTGGCTGCAGAGTTCCAGTACAAGTGTAGCAGCTCTAGTTTCAGTGTGTGAACACTGAGGGAAACAGAATCGTTGGATCTTCATATTTTAACCTTTGCCTCGTCTCCTCAGGCTCTGCAGGACAAGCTGTGGAACATGGCCGTCCCTCTGTGCCTCAAACAGAACGTCACGGCCACAGCAGCAGCTCAACAGGTCAGACACACACACACACACACACACACACACACACACGTCTGTATTACCACACCTGTGTATATTCATTTTAAACGTGTGTGTGATTGTGTCGGTAGATCTTAGAGGAAACCTACAAGCTGGAGTTTCTGTACAGTGGTTTGGAAAACAGACAAGTGGCCACTATACACCATGTCCGCCTCCAGGCCAAAGCGCTGCAGCTCGTCCTGACGGCTCGCACCAGGCAAGGGTCAGTTCACAGACACACACTCACTCTTACATTTAAAACTTCACGTGGACCACATCTGTGCACACACACGTCAGTCCATACAGATGTTTCTTTCTTCTTCAGGTTGGATCCTCTCATCAGCAGCTGTGAGAAGTTTTTGCTGGACGTCGAGTCTTTTCAGAGGTGATTCATTTATCTGTGTGTTTCTTTCTTTTCAACTCTTAACTATAAAAACCCACAAGCTTTAGTTTGTGAACCAGTGCTCAGTCAACAGCCTCGACGTAAACATACAACCACAGCACGTTTGGTCTGATCCGTCCTGACAAGTTCACTTGGTAAAGAATGTTTGTAAATCATTTTATAGAAAGAACATTTTAAGAAGCTGATGAAATAGAATGAACGCTGAAGAACAGGAACATTACAGTAAATTAGCACATCATCGGGCGGCGACTCCTCTAGATTCAGACAATGAGAGTTCGTTTAAAATAAGTCCTGAAACTTCTCGGTCTTTGTATCTGCCATTCATCTCTGATAAATGTTATGTCCTGCTCCTCAATCACCTCGTGCATCTTAACTTTCCTGAGCTGTGAAACTGAATGAGGTGTTAATATTCATTCATTGTGACAAGCAACTGCAGAGGAGACATTCTACTTCCTGTTTACACAACATGACCAGTGTACATGAACGGTCAAATGATGTGTGTTAGTGTGGACAGAGATTACTGATGCAAAGCTAAAACCATATTTCTCTACTACCTGTGTGTAGTTTTTGTTTTTTAAATGGGTTCCCCAGTCCACGTCCCTGAAGGCTCTCCACTCTTTTCTTCTTTCCATGTCTTCTGGAACCTGCAGGTTGTTTCTGACAGAGCTGCCCCACCTCCAGGACAGTTTTGTGGATAAACTTTTGGAGCTGATGCCCCGACTGTCGTCCTGTAAACCTGCAGAGCTGGTGAAAATCCTGCAGACGACCCTCAGACAGAGCGGTCTGCTGCAGCTCAAACTGCCTGAACAGGTATAAAGAAGAAAGGAGTCAGTGAAGGCAGCGTGACCTCTGACCCTCAAACTAACTTCCAGTCTGCGTCTCTGAAGTGTTTCACTTTGAACCTTGAGACCAGCAGCTTTTCAGCTACCAAACAGCAGTGCCTTTGTCTTTGGTGAACAGATCCATCGGGCGACAGCCACCATCATAGAGCCGACGGGGGAGTCTGACAATCCGCTGAGGTTCACATCGGGCCTGGTGGTGGCGCTAGACATCGATGCCACGCTGGAACACGTCCAGGATCCTCAGAACAGTGTGAAAGTACAGGTGAGCAACGAATAACTAAACTCAAGTTTCAGAATTACGATTGTTTTGTAGGTGGAGGCAAGCTGTTCAAGAATTTACTTCTGTAGAATATGGAGCCAGAATAATGTGATGAGACAATAATGCTGCATCGTGTTGTGTCTGCAGGTTCTGTATCCAGACGGTCAGAGTCACGTGATCCATCCTAAACCTGGAGACTTCAGAAAACCTGGACCTGACAGACACAGACTCATCACTCAGGTCTACCTCTCACACACAGCGTGGACGGGTCAGTGCAGTACTCTCAGCTGATGGTTCTGTTTTAATGACATAGATTAAACAAACTGATTGTCTCTGTTCATGTTCTCCTGTACCAGGCACTAACACGCTTTGAGCAAATCTAAGCACAGGCAGGGGCGATCATGATGACCACTTCCACTTTTGATTCTACTCTCTCCTCTTTGCTCTCAGAGCCGTCTCAGATCGAGGTGCGCCTCCTGCTGGCCTACAGCTCCTCCTGCACCTCCCTCTCTTCCTCAGCTGCCAAGCAGGGGTGGAGCGACAGCATCGACGGCATCCCACCACCGGAGGCAGCCGTCGAGGGAACGATTCAGTTCAGCAAGCCAGTCAAAGTGTTCATCATGCCCAAACCCACCCGACGCTAACAAAACACACGACAGAGGAAAAGACAGAAAAGACTCTCACACACACAAAGAGTATTGTGTTCACTCATTTGTACTGAGAAACGTTTTGTACTGTTCTAGTGCTTCTAATTAAGACAAACCCACGTGACGGAGATTCATTTTCTAATTTTATTATCTGTAGCAAACAAGCAGACAAACTCTCATCTCATGAAAACTGTTCTGAACATTCATCAACTTAAAACGTGAATGTAAAGTCTTTACACAGAAGGTCAAATGTTTTCAAATTTAAAATAACATCCACAAACTGAATTTCTCTGTCGAAAGATTTTCTTCATCCAGAGTCAAAAATAGAAAAGTGAGAAGAGTTCACTGATTTATAATCTTGGTATTATTTCTTAAGTTGCCAGTGATCTTCTACAGCGCAGCAAACACAACCTGAGGACTGGCCCACTTTAAGATTAGAAATGTTTCACAGTGATCTGAAGCCATGAGACAAGCTGAGATCTGGCAGAGGAAACCACCGGTTCAAACCAGACGGTGGAACACGGTGCCTCCATCTCCTGACGGTCATCCGGCGCAGGACACGTCATTAACAGGTGGAGTGAAAGACTCCGCCCACCTTGGCACCCTGGCCAACAAGCTTGTTGTATTCAGCGACGGCCCTCTCCGTCTGCAAGACTCTGACGTCCACACCTTTCTGCTTCACAAAGTCCAGAGTGGTGGAGGGAACCTGAAGAGAGAGGACAACACACTCAACACGGCAGCTTGATTCAAGTGAGTCTGATGTGTGAGTGTGAAGGTGGAGAACGTTTCCTCCTTCGCTCCCTGAGCGTCTGCTCTCTGTAACTCTGCTGAGTGGGTTCATCTCCTGTGAGAAGAAGTGACTGAGAGTCACTCTGCTAACATGCTGCTCACACTTCACCTCAGATGCATTGACATCAGATGTGTAACATCAAATATCTTCCAAGTTTATTTCATCTTGTCAGTGTTTGTCTCCACTCAAACTTCAAATTAAAGGACGTTTTTCTTTCCTCTGCTGTGTTTCAAAGGCTTTTTTTGAGAATGTAAAAGTTCTGCAGAGTAAAATCAAGTGTGTGGCAAAGGTCCTGAAACACCCCGTCAGTCGTCCATCCCATAATTCTACATTATCAAGATGTGACGCTGCTCGACATTTGCATAATACACGCTTCACACTCCCGTCTGGAACATCCCTGGACAACGTCCGGTACAGTGAGTGACGAAGGCCGACTTTTCTACCTGCAGAGCTTCACTCATCCCTCTGCCGATTACCAGCAGGTCGATTCCCATCTTCAGCACCTCCTCCAAATCAGCAGGTTGTACTCCTGGGTAATGCTGGGAGGAGAAGAGGAACGAAAACAAGTTTGAGCCCGGTCAGAAAGAAAACCACAGTGTTCTATGGTCCTGTTTTGGAAGAATGTGACGTTATGTCCTGTTTCAGTGTTGTGGGTTCTTGTGCAGGTTACATGAGGTCGATGATTGTGCTTCCACTCACGTCAGTCCCAGTCTCTCTCCAGTCCCAGGCCCGGCTGCCTCCAGGCCAGACCTTACAGTCCTTGTACCTGGAGGAGCATCCCTTCACCTTCATGTGGCCCCAGGAGAGAGAGGCAATCTCTGGAGAGGACATGGCTTCAACTCACAGGCTGCTGAAAGACAAGTGGGCGACACCGAGATAAAAAACGACTCTTCAATCATCACAAGAGCAAAGTTAAATTACTGACGGAGTTATTTCACAGATTAACAGTCTGTTGCTGCCAAAGGATGTTTGACCCAGTGAACAGGTTCATACTGAATCATCTCGGTTATTGGAACTAACATGTGAATAAGTAAAGTAAGAACCAGACTGTGCTGCAGCTGCAGGGAACTAGTTGTTGTCTCGCTGCCAGTTCTGCTGTTATTCACAGTCAACACAGGCCGACGAGCTATTTCTGTACGAGCCACAGACTTTACCCACAAAGCAACAGTTTGTCTGAGGCAGAGTTAAAGGTCCGACCATCAGAAACAGATCTGACACAGATCTGTGATCAGTTTCAAGCTCTTTGTATAAAATCTCTGGTTTCAAGACAAACGTGAAGAAAACGAGTGAACAGCTGTTTACCTCGTGACGCCGTCAACTGGCCACACCCCCTGAAGTTCACTTCCTCCTCATCTTAAAGGGGAAAGAAGAAGAAGATTTACTTTTATTATCATGTTGACACTATCACATGCATACACGACCAGCGGGCAGCCCAAACACGCACATGCACAGGGACACACACACATGTACACACATATATATATATAGATACTGGAGCGGTGGGCTGCCGGCGAGCAGATGTTGGGGGGCGGTGCCTTGCTCAAGGGAAAGGAGATGAGCTGCCACCCCACCAGCTGTCAGTCCATCAATATTTTCGAACAGCGGGAGCGAGGATCGAACCGCCAACCTTCCGGTTATTGGACGACCTGAGCCACGGCACGCTGAGAAACGCCCCCAAGCCTCACTGAGGTGGGAATCACAGAAAAGCCACGTGTCTGACATGTTTGTTTTTAATCACCTGTGTCACAGGAAGTCACAGAGAG